ATATATATATATATATATATATATATATATATATATATATATATATATATATATATATATATATATATATATATATATATATATATAACCGGGATATGGCTACGTATGAAGAACTGCAGTTTTTATGATCCTAATCTTTTACTAAACATTAAATATTTTACAGCAATCACACCGTTTAGCCTGACACTTAAAACACCCTAATTACCAACTAATTCGAGATCGATCTTTATATGGGTCAGAAGTTCCTTTAAGTTGGCATTATACGTTTGTATGCAACACAAACAGCTCATTCTGGTAAAACTTCAATAGCTTTTTCATCACCACAAATCACTTAAACTATTACGGATGTCAGGTCCTCTGGAATTATATTTACCCGAAAAAATGCACAAATTTCTATTAGATCGTTTTTTTGTTTCGACGTGCTTCCTGTCTAGTCATAGATGCAACTTTCGCAAATTTATTCCGAACGTGCTTCTCATCATACCCGCAAGTTATCAAATAATTAGCATACTCCTCACTCTTATTACGGAAATCCTCCTCTTCCGAACATATCCTACGAATCCTTAAAGCTACCCATTTAGCTATTCAGCATCAGTGGGTTTACTGTACACTGATGTGACTAATGAATTTCCTTTGATGGTAACAAGTCAATCCAAAAAATGTAAAGACTTTCCACCCATGTCCATCGTAAATTGTAAATATTTATTAAAAGAGTTGAGAGTGATAAAAAACATATTTAACGTTTCCACTGTAACTCTCCATAGTACAAATGTGACATTCCGAAAGCGAAACCTGGAACGCAATTCAGGATAGCTCGTCTTAGAATCTAAAACTTTATTGCTAACGCATTCAGCAACAATATCCGCATACGAGCATGTAGGAGATAGTTGTGTTGCATAAAAACGTAATGCCAACGTAAAAGAACTTTTTAGCTCAATCTGACCCTGCCTAGACCTAGGCCTTCTATTTTTATTTATATATTTTTTAATATTCATCGCTTTTTCACATGAAAAGACTGGGACTATGTGATTTGCGAGCGTGGCGGAGGAAGAACGCAATAGAAGGCCTAGTGGATTTCCCGACAAAAAGGCCAAAACTGCCCTGAAACTGCCCTGGTAGCGAAATGCCCAATTATTGCGTTCTCAAACAGAATTATTTGCAACTTAACAGCGAATTTAAACCGATACAGGTAAAATAAACTCATTTATAGTTTTAACTTACTATTTTTATTTGTATACACGTCTGGAAAATCGGGGTTTTTATCATAAAGTTTGGAGCAACACTATTATAATTATGTTGACAAGGTGTAGCGAAAGCACAAAATGAGTCAAAATATATACCAAAAGTAGAATCTTTCATTTTGTCTTATACACAACTACATTAATATATATTTTCTCAATTTTGGCAAGAAGCAGTTTTGTGTTTGTAAAATAGACAAACACATACCGTATACAATTATAATTTATTAAATAAAACGGATACATAATATTATTAACCCGTACAGTACTGTATAAAACGTATATTGTTTACAAATACTATATCCGCAATACTTGAACAATAATTTCAAAATGCAGAGGAAAGAGGCTCCCTACAGTAGCGTGCGGGATGTTCGCGGGACCAGTACGTGAACTATCCCCCGCAACTGCATGATGAAAACAAAACAAAAATTGCCCGGGCTTTTTTTTTTTAAAAAGCAATTTCGTTTTGAGTGCCAAATCACTTGCGAGTCTATACAGCAATTCTACATACGATACGAAAATCACTAGACCAAAAAAAGGCTACGAAACAATGTTTTTTAATTTTTAATATATCCATTTCAACTGTGAAACATTTGCCAAATTAGATACAAACGTTTAAAAAGTTGTTTAATTCACAAGAAAACGTTCACGTTTTTAGTCGTGTTTCTACAACACTAAAGTGAAAAATATTTCAGTTTCATAGCCTACTTGTTCACTGTTTAGCAAAAAGTACAGAACCAAAAATTAAACAAAAAAACACGTCCACCTGTTAATAGGCTGCTACAGCTCATAGGTTGAGTAAACGTCAGGGTTAAATTAACTTCAACCTTCAAGAGGTTTTGTTGTTTTCATCGATTTGATCCTTCATAATAATCCTTGGCTGTCCATGGCACTGAAATAAGTCGAAAAGTTGACAAAAACAAAACAGTAAAAATAACATTGCCGCTCGATTTTGCTGAATGAAAGCTCGTTCTGCGCCCGCGTACAATATTTTACTAGTCTGCGACGCTTTTCAGTAAGTGGAATTTCTCGAGTTACACAAGGCTATTTTCTAACTTTATATGCATTTTACTCATTAATTTCATCGGTGATCTACCTTCAAATTTTGACCACGAATTTATTTTGCTGTAAATTTTATCAATTTCAATGCTTAAAAAAATCTTTAGTGTGGAAATTTGGCAATAAAATTTTCGCTTTTAAAAAAATCACACACTACAGAATTTTTTTAAACTTTCACCCCAGTTGCAGAGCATCATTCCTATTGATATATGAAATAAAACAGACATTGTTTTTGAGATAGCGGCACATTTATGGATTAAATTGGAAGGCTTTGCGCTGTCGTCATGTTGCCATTGGAATGCTGACGTTGTCGAAATCTAGTCCGAAATATTTCTTAGGTGACCAGTATTGCCACCAAGTCGAAAAGAATTCGCGTTCTGCACGAATAAACCTGTTTTACGGAATTATTGCGTGAACAAGAATAACTGTAGAGAGCCTCCTGAAGGTAAAATTCAACCTCAAACGCTTCGCAAGACGTTTTAAAATGTTCTTTATAAAGCCTTTAGCTTTATCGAAACACTATGAGTTTGAAATAAAATGACTTCAAATACTCGCATTCAAACAACATTGCTTTATTTTTTAATATAATGAAAAAGGTTAATCAATAAAGAAACACTGAAAATATATGCTGTCTTTTTCATTTAAAGACCATGTAAAGTCCGTTCTGCACATACGTTCTGCGCAGACTTACATTCCAATGGTCGGGACCCGACCGTTGGAATGTTATTAATATTTCGTATCTTTTAAACTTTCTTGAATTGAATCCCTGGTCTGTATTCATTTACAAGAATAGCGAACCAGAAGAGTGTTAAAAATTCAGTATAATATATATATATAATCATATTTTACAACTGTAGCACTGAGTTCAAAATGTAAACAAAGAGTTTTTTTACATTACGGACTTTATATGGTCTTTAGTAAGGTATACGAAACGATCAGCTTCAAAGCCGTTATAAAGCGAACAATACATCAATATTTAAAACAAACCTACCTTCGTTAATGTCGGTGTCTCTACTCCCTTCTTTTAGTAATGCTTTCGCCTTTATTTTCTTAAAAAGCTTTCGAAATTAACAAAATCTTGCAAAAATGAAATATATTTGCAAGAAATCATCATTCATCAATCATCAAATCAAGAAATGTGTGCTATTTCGCTGTCGTCATGCAGTCGTTATAATGCAAACTTTAGATTTGACCAATCAGTGTCCGCTATTGATGACAGTCCGCCATATTTTTGAGATCAGCGAGGATGACCAAAGACCGAAATTTCGTTGGTGACCCACGCCCGCGATCATTGATGAACTTTAGACTTCGCTAATGTTTTCGTTTCCCCAGGTGTAAATAGCCGGGCGGAATTCCACTTGATGTTGTATTGTTTCTAGCTTTTCTTGAGTTTCCACCATTACTTCAATAATTCTGTTTCCGCTGAATACCGAGGAACATTTGGCTTTTTTTCATGATTGGCATACCTCTTCTTGAACGTCCCTGCTGTCATTCCAGTGGATACTCAATACTTGTTGATAAACATTTACTGTCAGGCGGACATTTGGCTTTAACATGACAGTTACACGTTTCTTTCTTTTCTGGCTCGTTCTTTTTTCCAAGCAGGTGTCGATTGCGGTTGGAAATAACGCTCTTATGTGCTCATGCACGAGTAGCTCACATTCACGCTGTTTCCGTTGAATATCTTGTGGAGGCGAGATGGTCTGGGGAAATGCTTGTCAATTAGTTGAAGGAAGTTACGTGCAATGTTCGTTTGAACATTCTTGCTGAACGGGCGGTGGGGAGCTTGAACCATATCATTTTTCTTTTCCGTCGTCTCGTCTTTGATGATGGGGTATCGTCACGGCTTTCATCAGCCGAGTACTGTAAGGTTGTGTTGTAAGGTTATGTTGTGTTGTTGTGTTGTTGCGTTGTTGTGTTGTTTGTTTTGCCAGAAAAGAGAGAAACGTGTAACTGTCATGTTAAATTGACAGTAAATGTTTATCAACAAGTATTGTATACAAAGTAAATATCTCGACAAGTGACGGCGAAGAAACGAAGGAGTACATTGGAATGACGGCAGGGACGTTCAAGAAGAGGTATGCCAATCATAAAAAAATCACCAAATGTTCCTCGGTGTTCAGCGGAAACAGAACTATCGAAGTATGCGTGCAAACTCAAGAAAAGCGGTAAACAATACAACATCAAGTGCACTCTAGAAAATGGTGTGTTCTAAAACACACCAAGGTGTGTTTTAGAACACACCTTGGTGTGTCAGTATGGCACACCTTATAAGAAGAACACACCTAGGTGTGTTAGAAAACACACCTAGGTGTGTCCCGAAACACACCAAGATGTGTCCCCAAACATACCTTGGTGTGCCATAAAACACACCTTGGTATGACACGCATTTTTACAACACCCTTTCGTACTATCAAGGTCTGTCATGTAGCACATCCTTTTCAGAAAAAACACACCTTAGTCTTGACACACCTTTGTGGAAGCTGATAAAAAAGACACATTTTTTATGTATGACACACCTTAAAAACATAACTTTTTATGGCGCACCTTAATTTATTCTACTAAACCTAAATCATATACATTGATTTTTGTACCTACTGCGCATGCGCGAGTGATCATATAATATTACATTTATATAACCCAAAATGCTATAGAGCTACGGGTTCCTAAAATTAGAGTGCAAATTGGACCTTATACACTTGTTTAGATGCCTTCAATATTGGCAGTATCTTTCGAATTCTCAACAATGAACAACTGTCCACTCTTTCTCACAATGTTCAAAACCCCATGCCAGGGTAAGTTGCCAAGTACAACAACTACACATTTGTTTGTGGTAATAACTTCATATGGCATAAGATGATGGTGGAAAGCTATAGTTTCTAACACTTTCACAACAAAGAACTTGCCATCTTCCCAGATTAGGATTTCCTCCACTATCGCATAGGATGGATATTCACTCTCCCCAAAGTCGTCCAATTCTTGTAACCGCAATGCACAGCCTGGCCTGCAGCTGACCCCATGAATCTCAACATGTTTCACCCTTAACAAGAATAATTCATAATTTCTTACTTCATCATACATAAGGTTTCCTGTTGGCACATAAAATATTAGCAGCAGGGGTGGAAAAATGTATCGGACCACGGAAACATTGGTCTCAGAAAATTTTTTGAGTTCCCAGAAAATATTTCCCCAAGAAAGAAAAAAAGGATTATTGTAAAAATTTAATAGATAAAAGGGAGAAATTCAGAGGAAAAATTCGAACTAATAGAAAGAATGTTACCTGTATTACTGTATGTATGACCTCAGAAATGCAATAATTATTATAAGTGCATCCATCTTATAATAGTGCAATAGTGTGTAAATGTAAAGACTATAGAATAATGTAACAAATGTTGTACGACAAATGCATTTTTAGCCAATCTGGGACACCTGATTTTCAAAATTTTCTGGGGAAGCATGAACCCCCCTGCATGGTAGTGCCTTTTCTCAGCATCTCTATTGGTTTATGGTTTATGGTTTATTAACACATTTAGTAGTAGTTACGCTAATTTACAATGTGTTTACAAATTTGGGTATAAAAATGTATATATATATTATATATTTACATGTCATTCATTAAAATTAAAGTTTTACTAATCTATATCTATTTACAATATGTATAAAAACTACTAATGCATACCTATTTGGATACATTAACTGATAAAATTTTAAAAATGATGATCCTAATCAACTAATCTAGAATTATATAAGTATATACAGTAAACTAAAGGACTGTGTTTAAAATGTTCGGTTTTAGAGGGGAAATTATATAATTTCTGACTGTTAGTTCTTGTTTCTTTTTGCCTAATGTATTTTAGTTTCTTTGGTAAGAGGCTATGAAGTTTATGGTTTGGTTCCAGCATTTTTTTAATTAGAGATACA